CACCTCCGACGTCAACCTGTCTATGCCCAGTGGCTGCCTCCTGCGGTAGTGACCTGTGGCTGCTCAACAAGCGGCGGGGGTGGAGCCCCAGTTTCTTTGCCAGATGCGAATTCCTACGCTGGTTGCCGGGCACCAAGTGCACGAAATCGATCACCTGGATGTCCGCCCAGTTGCTTGGCTTATAAGCATCGTAAGTCACTGTTCCTATCTCAAACGAATGAACCAAATGCTGCGTAACTCGTCTGTCACCTCAGGTTCATATGTGCCTTGCTAGTCATTTTTACAATTGATGATAGCAGGCAGCTCACAGGCAGGTGAAATGCCCAGGCAGCAAGCTCAGGGTTGCACCCAAACAACCCCTAAATGCTTACAATATCTTACCCAAGTACAACTAATATGACTATTAGATGGTAACTCGTATTTGACAACTAGGTAACAACTCATGTGTATCTTATGGACATCTAGATTTAAGATTTTTCTTGAGTAAACTAGTATACTAGTAGTAAAAGCTATTTTTGTCTCTATTGCTTCAAGTAGATATAGATGAGTTAGATTTTCCATAGTGGTGATATTCAAATTTACTTCTTGTCCTTAGTAGGAAAACCATATTTCTCTTCTATTCTTGATGTCAAAATTAAATCAAGTTGAGTTTTGATATTTGAATATTCCTGAATCATCCATGTGACGTCGCTCATCATCGTCCCCTCTGGAACTTCTCTCAAAATGTAAGAACCGAGAATTTACACAATGCCGTTTAATGATGGGCATGACAGATTTTTCTCAGGCTGCATAGTGCTGTTATTCCTAGAAATGCTTATACATTTTTCTTGAGTTTTAGAAAAGCTTATACTTAGGTATTATTTAGTTCCTCCCTCTAAAGTTTACTCCCTATCACATCGGATGTTGAATATATGCATAAAGTATTAAATATAGGCTAAAAATAACTAATTGCACAGATTGCGACTAATTTGCGAGATGAATTTTTAAGCCTAATTAGTGCATGATTTGACAATGTGGTGCTACACTAAACATGTATTAATGATGGATTCATTAGGCTTAATAAATTCGTCTCGCAGGATTACTAACGGATTCTGTAATTTTTTTTTATTAGTATCCGAACACCATATACGACACCCACATGTGACATCCAATGTGACATCCCTAAACTGTACTCCCTGAATTTAAACTCCACCTTCAGGATAAATGGAATTATGAATCATATGGTCATTAATATGGCTTATTTTAGATGAGTTGTTTTTCTTTCTTCATTACCTCTGCAATTAATCCAAAAAATCATTTGCGATACTCATTTAAGCGCTAGCCTTTAGCAAACCAACATTTTTTTAACAGAAGTGGACCCCATCTGACACTGTCCTTGTGGCGTGGCCTGGCTAACACGTCAGATGAGAGAGAAACACGTTGGCTAGATATAGAGGACGGCAACTGGCAGCAGTGCACACAGCACGTAGAGCACGCAGCGGGCTCGCACTGGTAACGTCCCTCCACCCTTTCTCTTTCCCCTTCCTTTCCGATCTCCAATCTCCGGTAATCCATCCATCGTTTACTTGAACAACCTTCAATCTACCACCGCTTGAAGGCTCAGTAGCAGTCGTCTTAGCAGTTAGATCGGAGAAGGATGGATCGTCAATCAAGCAGCACCGGGATGAAGGGACCCTTCCGATTCCTGCCGGCCGAAGTGAAAGAGATGGAGGAGCGCCTGTTCCCGGTCACCAATTGCAGGCTGGATCACATCCTCATGGATGAGCTCGCTGTGAAATTTAGCTACTTCCGGGGCCTTGCTGGCATGACTCCCGTCAAGCCAAAGCAGGTACATGGCTAGCTCTGTGCATCGATGTTCCAGATATTTCAAATTCCTCCTCCCAAGAACCTTTTTCATTCGGGATCTGGGGATCTGGGCTGGGTGGAACTGATTCAGGTGCTCAACTGGTTTCATAACAATCGTAACAAGCATTGCCCCAAGGTAGCCAGGAAAGCACGTCCTCCGGTGGTGAGCACAAGGGAGTTTTGGGCCAACCATCAGCAAGCTCGAGGCTCCTCCTCAGCAAGTTGAAGCCAACGGTCACTACGCACGCAGGATCTTCGTCTTCCTCAGGTGATAGATGTTACCTGTGACTATGATCACTGATGCTTCTTTGCGTGGATCTGCTAGTCGCTGGTTTTTAGGAAGACAATAATAATGTAACAACACAGTGAGCGAGCGATCAAATCTGTGAACTGAGTTATGATTTATAAGCATATAAGTATTATGCTCCTTATCTTGATCTGTATGTAACTCAGAGCCATGGAATTGATAGTGAGCGCCTAAATGCTGTATTATTTCATCTGACGTAGAAGGTTTGTGTTCCATTTCATGCTAAAAAAGCTAATAATAAACTGTAACTCTGCGTGCAGCCTTTTAGTTCCATCATACTTCATCGTCGTTGTTCCCTTACTTGCTAAATGAATGTGTTGCATCCTTTTAGGATCTTTGAACTTGTTTGTTGCCCATGTTTACATGCCTCCTCATAACTTCCCGGCACTTCTTTTCTATTATTAGGATATATAATGCTACGTTCTGTTTTTATTCTCGCTACACATCGATATGCATCACAAAAACATGACAATTATCTCCAGGGCAGTATTAGGATATTGCTATATGTTATGATTTTATTCATGCAATTGATATGCATCACAAATCCATGACAATTGTCTATCATGCATCTTCCTTCTGCCCATTGTTATTAGCATTGTTTGAAAATCAGGGAATAATTATATCATCGATGGTCACACCAAGTATGAAGCTAAGTCAGCTAGAGATGGCGCTTGGTATGGAGACTCTTGCACCTGGCCTTCTTATATTTTGCTTTTTGATTGATTGCCACATATTACAAGGTTTTCAATTTTCAAAAAGTGACGGGGGACGTGGTGACAAGGGATGTGGTTATATATACACGTCTTCCTTCCTGCGCATCTAATTTCTGGACGGACTACTCATACATAAACTTTTTAAGCCCTTATATCTTACCATGTATATTCTCTTATGCACTTATTAATAAAAGTAACAAAGTGTTAATCGATATAGTGTTTTAATGTATTTATGTGCCAATCAAGACAAATTATCCCTATTAGCTTATCATTGTATCCGCGGGTCCCTGTTTTGATATAAGAGTCAAATAAAATAATCTAGCTGACACAGCTTATATTCCAAATGATAGTGTGTCTAGGTCCAACAGATTTTTCCAACGGTTTGGAGGAAATTATATCATAAGCAAAAGATGTTAAATGCATGTAAGAGAAGGGATTGGATAACCCTATGAAGTGCTGCCTGAAACTTGATCATTTGTACAAAGTGCCTACCCTTCGTCATTGAAACCGGCCGTTTGTATATATATATATAAAGTTTTCTATGCAGCATTTTTAAAGTTTTATTCTTCATATGTGCATAGCTATATATTGCAGGTTCGATGTCCAAGACTTCGTGGCTCAAAGGTTTTGCAAATCAGGTGATTTGGTAAGAAAATCAAATTTTGATGATGTTGATAAAAAGTAAAGGCAGCCGTTATTTATTTGTGCAATAAGCATCTGTTAGTCCTATAACATACATATGATTCCATTCTCATTTATATGTACAGGGAGGAAACCCTGAGGCTAAACGCGGTAAGTTAGTCTGTGATATAGGTTGCTTTGGCACTCGTGTTTGTTACACTCAGATATGTCAATATTATGGACTCCTAGCTAGGTGGTCTCAGTTAGGGCCCATATGTACTTAATATATTAAAAATTTTGAGGCAGGAGATATTAAGGTATAATGACATTATGAGACATTCCAACAAATCTCAGGCAACAAGGCAGAGGAAATAAAGAAGATTTGAAGATGTGGTTTATTATTATAAGTTTCTGTAGGAGTGTATATATTTTTGGCATAAAAATTAGTTTCTTTGCATTGCATTGCTAGTTGGTGTCCTCTAGCTAGTTTCTACAAGTCGGCCCATCATGCCGCACTACTTTGACTTCCCTATTACAGAATACTTGTTAACATTTATCTGCTTCTATATAGTTAACCACCCCCTACCATGTAAAAAATACTTTGGCGCCAAAGACTGAGCCAAGAAATGAAAGAGAGGGGGTGTTGTACTGAGAGGCCTCAAAGCAAGGCAAAGAAAAGCAACAAAGGAGCAACCGTGAGAGGGGCTGCAAAATTATTATAGAGAAGCTATACAAGGCAGAAACTCAAGGTGCTTAACATCACTGAATATGTGGCTCAGGCTCAGCGCTCTATGAGCGTGTTTGGGACGGAGTCTACAGACCACACGGTGCGGTATGGGAAACGTGGCCACCCCACCATGGCACGGGAAACACGGCCATAGTTCATTTTTGTGGTGCGCTTGCCGGATGCGGCGAAAACAATCGCCACTGCCGCGGGGCATTTGGCGCCATTATGCACTTGTTTTGGTGGCCACCGCAAGAAACACGGACACAAACACACCCTATGTTTGAGCTTATGGCTAAGATTAAGGCTGGTCATATGGTGTGCAGCTGTCTCATCATCATAAAATTTACTCTGCACTACAACCTTCCATTACATGCTAGAGAAGCATCACTGGGCGACCTCTCCGCATACCTCTCTGCCCTACCATATAGGTTGCATTGTTTTGATGCATCTCTCCACATAACTCTCCGTGTCGTCTCCCTGGGTGACGGGAGGGGCGACAGCCGCTGCCTGAAGCAAGCCCGCCCTAGCTGCCTAGCTCTCGCCGCTGTCGCACATCCTTCTCCCCCTTCTTCCTCCCACTCCTCTCCTAAACTCGTCCTCCCTGTTGTGTTCCCCGTCGAGTGGTCCTCCCTCCAATCAGATCTGTGCTTCTTGGGGCTAGATCCATGTGCATGGGACCCCGATCTATGGAGGATGCAGGTGCTCGCCACGGCTTGTTGGCTCCCGGCAAGCTCCGGCTATTAGCTATCGCGTTGCCTTGGTAGTGGTGGCGGCGGTGTTGCTGGCCATGGCATGGGCGGTGCTGGCTGTGCTGGTGACCACAGCGGCGATGATGGCCGCGCTGGTGGTGACAGCAGAGGCCGCGCTACTAGTGGTGGTGGTGGCGGTAGCAGCTATCATGGTCACGACTATGCTGGGGCTCATACATCGTGCTTCGGTAGATTCTTGGCGAAAGTCTTCCTCGTTTTGTGGCCAGTGCCAACGATGATGGTACTTGCTCATGCGTCATGCTCCTCGGAGGCGTCGTTGAAGATCGATCTTCCTTTATTGCACGTGGTCTCTAGGTGAAAACCCAAGTCCAATTCCTCGGACAAGTCACGGTGGAATCTTTGTATGTCAATTCCTTCCGGGAGGCGTTGCTTTGGACACCACCATTCCTTGTGTGCACAAGCTGTCAGAGATTTGTACTGTGCCTATGTGTGCTTTATATCCTTCTTCGCAATGGTTTGTCCTGCTATTCTTGTTTGGGTCATCCTTCCTAGCGGAAGCTTTGCCACCGTTGTTTGGCTTTCGTGGTGGATACATGCCGCTACCGTTTTCCGCGGATGCTTGGTTGCTGCAGATCCCTTCTCTGGTGGATGCTTTGCCGCTGTTGTCGTGTTGGTTACTCTCTTGCAGATGCTTTGCTGCCGAGGTTGCTTTGGACCCTTCTCTAGCGGATGCTTTGCCGCCATTGCTGCTGGATGCTCATCTCGGCTTATCTGGGGTGGACATTTTGTGCCACCATGGTCTTGCCTTCTATGTAGGCAACCATTGTGTCGATGTGTTTTGTTCTTACAGGCCTAGTTTGTTTGTTTGGGCATTGAGGCTGGAGGTCCCCTCCCCTTGCCTTTTCTTCGTGTTATGGTTTGTTTCTAGTTGTCTACCACTGTCTTGGTGGTTTGTAGCCTGCACTACAAGGGCTCTCTCATACTTGGGTCGTGTAATTCTATGTCTCTTAATGAAACACGTGCTTAAGGCCGCACTAGCATGTTCTAAAGAAAGAAGAAGCATCCAACAATGATGATTGAACAATACCATGATCCTTGGTTGGACCCTCTAGAAGCATGTGTATTATGTAGATCTAAAATAATTCAAATTGGTACGCTATATACTGGAGATAACTCTGACACTATCTTACTTTGTATACATAAACTTGCACATATATATTTATTGGCCTACATGCTTTCAAATTGTAACATCTACGCAATTTATATATGTTTAAAAATGCTTGTATAGTTTCCTGGACATGCCAGAATTATTTTTATTATATGTTCCCTGTTTGTGTAGTTTCTACTGTCATTTTATGTTTTTCTGACTGCGTGTGCCATTTTTTGCTTGCCTTATGAATCAGAAACTTTTGGTTCATTTTTCTGGATTTGGAGCAGAGGAAGCTGAATGGATCAATGCTCGTACATGTTTGCGGCAACGCTCAGTGCCATACAAGGCCACAGAATGTGCAAATGTTCATTGTTGGGACCCTGTTCTTTGTTATAAGGTATTGTAATATTAAACTCCCTTTTGCTGCTACCTTAATTAGTATACAACATCTACATTCAAAGAAGAACTTTTGAGATGGACGGTAGTTAGTTTGCTCTATCTATCCCTAGAATTGTGCATTCAATACTCAATAGTATATACTTGGTATGCCTATATCAAAAAGGGTTTTCAAGTTAGTCTATTCTTTTATACACTAATGTTTTAGATTATACTAGTTCCCTCCATTACAGAAAGTTAATAGGTTTAAGTTTTGTACTTTATGATAACTCACACTTATCTGATTAACTTTTATCTGAGATTCTAGAAAATAAATTAAAATATACAACACTAGATAATAGATGCACTATTAAGACATATTTCATGGTGGTTTTAATGAATGAAACTAGTTTAACGGTGCAGTTTTAGTTGTTCCAATTTTTTTATAGATTTGTTAAAAAATAAGTATACATTAAAGGTTGATTATGGAAGACATCATGAGGTGGGGTGCCATTGGAGGAATAGAAGAGTGAAGAAATGAGTACAGTGGGAAAATGATAAGCTAGAGCGAGACTAGATATGAGTTGAGTTAATATTTCTTAATACTCGTGATTCAGGGCGGCTTCATTCTTCATATAGTACCTGTACTAGAATTGAGTTCCGCAAAAGGCTAAGAATTTATTTTTGTGGATAGTAGTTTAATTTTAATGTCAGCAAGCTCTAAACAATTTTTAAGATGAACATACAAACATATGAAACAAATAAACTAGAGTACTAATATACACATAAGTCACACCCATATTAAAAAAGGAACTTTTAGAAAAATTACAGTCCATCATAACAGGTGCCCTTGTAGTACCCGGCAAGTCCACACTTACTGCCATCGCTTGTGTCCCATTAGCGTGGAAGAACATCAAGCTATCATCTGAAAACAGCAGGTGGAACACAACCAGCGTCCTTCTGCACACTTGTAAGCCATGTATAAGTTCTCCTGATATCTCCTGCTGCAACGCTCACTACAACATACAAGATTAGTAGGGGCGGCTTATGGTCATTCATAGGGACAGCTGGATATAGAGCCGCCCCTATAAATCCGTTTCGAAAACTTCTCAAATCTGGGCAAAAAAATTAGGAATTTTTTTAATCCGGGGAGGCCACCCCTACAAATAGGGTCATTTGTAGGGGCAGCTCATAATACTAACCGCCTCTACAAATAGATTTGTAGAGGGACAACTCGTTTGTGAATCATTTGTTGGGACGGCTCATTATAGAACTGCCTCTAAAAAAGGAGGCGTTGCTTCAAATCCTTTCTGTAGTAGTGACTTTGTACATACCATCAGCAATAAACAGAAATAAATAAGGCAACAAAGGATCACCTTATTAGCGTAGCCGTCATGTAGGTTGGAAGCTGTCTAGCATGACACCATTGAAAGCACACCGCAGAGCATACAGTGGTAACACACGCCATGACCAACTGTACCCATTTTCGATGAAAGCCCAGCTTCACAAGAACATTTTTCCAAATAGCTCCAGTCCACCCGATCATATGCCTTGGCCATATCTAGATTGTACAGAGAGAAGTTACTCCTATTTGAATTATCATCCTATATCGCATGAATACACTCAAAAGCAATCAACGCAATGTCAGAAATTAGACAGTTGGAAATACAAGCACCTTGGTTCTCAGAAATTGAATTATGAAGTAAAGGCCGCAAATGATTTACCAAGCATTTAGTAACAACCTTATAAACGACAATGCAAAGGCTTATCGGCCTATAATCCTCTACCTTCTTCTCCGAGAACTTTACTTTCGGTATGAGCTCTATAGAGGTATCATTCACACCCTTCGGCATGTGCCCATCAACAAAAAAAAGCATGTACTTACTTACATCTTCCCGGAGTGTCCCCCATTCTCTATGGAAGAAGTGGACAGGGAAGCCATCCGGGCTCAGGGCCTTTAGCGGACCAATCTGAAACTGCAGCACGTCAGCTACATCCTTCTCTGCATAAGGCTTACATAGAGACATATTCATCTCCTTGCTATACCGCACTCAAACAACGATGTTAGCACTTGGGGTTCAACATTAGGGCCCTTCGTGTAAAGGTTGTTAAAACAAGAACTTACAAGCCCTTCCATCAATAGTGTATACTTGGTATGCCTATATCAAAAATAGTTTTCAAAGTTAGTGGATTATTTTATACACTATAATGTCTTAGACTATACTCCCACCATTTTAAAAAGTTAATAGGTTTAAGTTTTGTACTTTATGCTAAACCAAACTTATCTAATTACCTTTTATTTGAGTTTATAGAAAATATATTAAAAATACAACACTAGATAATAGATGCACTAATAAGACATATTTCATGGTGGTTTTAATGAAACTAGTTTAGCACTGTAGTTGTAGTTGTTCGCATTTTTCTATAGATTTGTTAAAAATAACCATAGATTAAAGGTTGGTTATGGAAGATATGGGGTGGGGGTGCCATTGGAGTAATAGAAGAGTGAAGAAATGAGATACTATGGGAAAATGATAAGCTAGAGTGAGACTAGATATGAGTTGAGATAATATTTCTTAATACTTGTTATTGAGGGTTGGGTTTCATTCTTCATACAGTACCGGTATTATAGAATTGAGTTCCGTAAAAGGATAATAATTTATTTTCATGGACTTCCTTTAATTTTAATGTCAGCAAGCTCTAAACAGTTTCTAAAATGAACATACAAACTTATGAAACAAATAAACTAGAGTATTGAATATACACATAAGTCACAACTATATCGAAAAAAGGAACTTTTAGAAAATTACAGTCCATCATAACAGGCTTGAATAAGGGACTTTTCTTTATGTTTGCTTATGTTTGTGTAACATTGTGAAAGAATCAACAACATAGAAGTAATTTATTTGTCTTCATATTTTCTTGTTCCGTAATTCTATCGCTTACCTTGGTAGTGTTGTCTCTCATGAATATATACTTCTGTTCTACACTGTTCAGGTAAGTGAACACAGTGGTCTCTATTTTGATGCTGAAGTGCATGCTATTGAAAGGAAAACGCATCATTCAGGAGAAGAATGTGATTGTAAAATCCTTGTTCTTTATGTGCATGATAATTCTGAGGTACTTTCCTTCTAATATTGTCCATTCACTAACTACAATTCAGTTATTGTACTAATTTATATGTTTTATCTTGTTTTCTTATGCCCATGATTATTCTGATAACTCTTCACTTTTCATTATATAATAATGTCTATGCGTTGAAAATTTATAATTGTAGTAGATGCAGCTGCTGACATGCTTTATATCAGTTTTTTCAACGGACAGACTCTGCATATTGTTGCTCCTTTTTTTTATTTTTTAAAAAATTTAGATGCCCTATATGCTTGAGTAAATTGTTGACCCATTGAGGAACAACCCATATGCTTGAGTAAATTGCACTATATGTCCTTAAGTTGTACAGCTGTTTCATTTGGCAGTATGAATTTAGATTCTTCAACTTGAAAAAATATATTTTGCTCATTAATCTCAACATGTACATGCGAATTAGGTTAACTACATTGAATCTTAATGCTTTAAGTGAACTACAATTTAATATGTTGTATTGTTAATTTCATAAAGTATGCACTTTTTACATTTAGTGAATCGTAAGCTAGATTGCAACCTTAAGCTTTTATATTTGTTCTTTGCTTGATACTAGATTTTCATTTAATTTTGTAGGATATTGTTACACTGAGGAAGTTATGCCGTCGATATGTAGGAGATGACTACAAACCTCAAACTTCGTATGAGCGACTAAAAGGAAAGAAATAGCTTAGTAGCTCAAGAAAAAAATGTAGCATCAATTTGATGACATGTTTAATATAGTACCTTTTTAGAACAATGAATGTTTTATTTATTACAATGTATCTTAGTGGCTCATGAGTATTCCTGCAGAATGGAAACTATTATTAATTATGTAAAGACGTAAGACTTCAGGTCAAGGCGGAAATACTTGTGTTTGTGAAGTTGATCAGAGTCACACTACAAGACAAATGGCCTTCTGTAGGGGTACAAATTGTATCACTACTATGGAAACAATTTTTAGGGGCTGTCAAAAATAGTTATGAGAGGTGGTCTCAAAACTTCTACTACGTCATCGATTGTAAATGTCTAGTATTTATTAGTATTAGTGCCATAAATGCTACATGGTAGTCCTTCAGTCCCTCCTCGTGTAGTGAATAAGGGCATGTACAGGGCGTCTTTTTTTCTCGTCTGCGTGCGGTGTTTTTAGCAAAAAAAAAAACCCTCGCGAGTTGGGAGCTGGCGGTGCTCGTCGTCTCGTGAGACAACGAGGATGGCTCGTGCTCCAAGGTTGAACCGACGAGGACGCGCCGCGTTGAACGAACTCGTCGCCGAGACACGCATCCAGTGCGGCATCTCCGCAATCGGACGCGGCAGCAACAGCAAGGCGGCCGGCGCCCACCCCTTCGATCATGGCAACAGCTCGGCGACAGCAGCACCCAGTAGCACCCGGATCCGACGCCGCCGGGGGTGCTGGAATGCGGCAACCAGCAATTAGTATGATCCCTCCTCCATCGGTGCAGAGCAGCCGTATGCTTCAGATCCTTCCCGTGCGGTGCTTCCTCATCCGTTTTTTTCACTTGCTTTGTTTTCCTGATTCGTTCAAAGCAAGCAGGGCTAGTTTGTGTTTTTCTGTGACCATATATTGAACTATCTGTTTTATATCAAATAACAGCACAATGGTATATAAAATGATATTCACGAATGAACTTGGCTACATACAAAGCATTAAACAGTTTGCAGACGCCCCCTTATCTGTGGGTTGTACGATCTATCTTTCTATCTATCTGTACATTAGATTCGAGGCTCTTACAGACAATCTCCGTGTGTGGGCTGTACATGCCGTAAGGCTATTTACTTGGCAAGTGATGTGTACAAGGGTTATACTCGAACAATGCAATAAAAAACTAGATGTTTGTACTTTTTTTCAAGTGAAAATCCCACATATGTCATAAGAGTGAGGACATCAATGCACTGGACATCATAAATGAGAAACACCAACCATAGTTTTTACATTGTAGTTTTAATAAGATAAAACGATGCACCGCAAATGAGTTCACAAGGCAAATAAATAGTTAACAATATAAAGCATGGTAACACAACCACCACCACCAACCAACATCCAGCCATGAATGTGATGATCAAATCAAATGTGGTGAGTATAGTGTCCCATTACATGGTCTGAAATTGAAGTAAAACTATTTTTCCTTAGTCGATCGTGTAATTCGTTTAGGATGTGTAATACTTTGTTTGATTGTTTACATAAGCTGGCCATGTAATGGAATGTATAGGGCCTAAACTGGAAAGGCGTGACTAATCTTTACACGACATGTACATGAGCTACATGACCGTTTGTAGCAACACCGGTCTTTATAGAGGCAAGCTTACAGCCGCCCTGTAAATGTATTTTTAGGAGTGGTTGGCATAAGTCAACCACAAATGGAAATAATTTTGCAGGTGTGGTTAGCTTAACACAACTGACTCTGCAAATGAATTCCTAGAGGATGGCTTGATTAAATGAACCTCTCTTGAAAATACTTCTAAATTTTCTAAGTTTCTAACCATGTTTGGATTTTTCATTCTCTCGCAATTTTTAAATATATATTTACCACCCAATTTTACATTATTGTGATCACTATTTTACCATCATAAAGTCACTATGCACAATGGGTCGTAAATATACTTCATGCATTAAAAATAGAAGTATTAAATGTTGAATTTTTAGTCATTTTACTGCATTAATCCAGAAACAAGATAGTACTTACATGACAAAAATGATCGTGAGCAATACATTCATTGCATATGTAAATCTGCTACCGAACAAGATAATAGCAAATCCTATCCATAGATCCGCAACACATACAACTAAATGAGCTAGAGATAAGTTTAGAATGTACTGGTCGCGGGGTCGGAACCGCGGCAAGCATTGTTGTTCGAGTTGGTGTCAGAGTATGTGTCTCCGGTGGCTCGGGTGGATTCAAGAACACGAGAATCATAGAGAGAACACAACGGTTTATCCTGGTTTAGGCCGATCGATGCCATACGTCCAGCAGCTGATGATCCTTAAACTCAAGAGCACAAAAAATCGGGGGGTTACAATAGAGTGTACAGGAAGAAGGAAGAGATTTGGTAGGGGGTTCGCTTGGTGCTAATCCTGAGGTTGCCTCACAGTCGATGGAGTCTTCCCCTCGTCGGAGAGGAGGAAGACAACGGGTGCGGTGGAGGAGCTCTCGGTACCCCTCTCTCTGGGTTGCTTTGCTCTCGGTACTGAGTAGGAACGGATGCATGAGAAATGGAATGATCTGTCTGTGATCATCCTCCCCCTCTAGGATCCAACCTTACCCCTTATATATCGAGATAGGTCAGGTACATGGCGGTTTAGGGGGGTGAGCCTATGGTCTACATGCACCGGAGTCTAGGAGGGTCTTACAACGGCACTTTGTGGACCGTGGCGATGTCGTGGAGCCGAATAAGCCCTGGGCATCGTTCGGCTGCTCTGTTCTAACACTCTACGTGTCAGGCTGTGTCGGCTTGGACCGGCCTCCCTGAGGTGGACCTTCTGGAGTCTTCTTGGTGGCGAAGGAGGTCGGCTCAAGGGGCTGACATGAGGGCCCAAGAGCCTCGAAGCACCTAGAGGCTGAGGGGGAACTTGTTTTCTTATGTCATGCCCTGTGCATTACCCTATCGGGGGAGCAGCCGACAAGGCCGCGCCCGAGGTGCTTCATCGAGGAGACCCCGAGCCTCGATGGCATGGGGCGTGTCTTCTTGTGCCCTGGCCTTGGTTGGCGTCGTAGGTCATGTAACACCCCGGGTGTTAGTCATGAGTTAAGTAGTGGATTTGGACTTAAGTAAACTATGTCAAGCAATGATCATGATCTCTAGTTCATAATTTTGAAGTGATGATGAAGGTATTGAGATCCAATCTATGAAATTGAGTCCCAACTTGAACTTGGACAACACACCTTTGCTTACATGTGGACCCTGGTTAAGGTTAGGCATGAGTAATGTTAAACATGCTTGTTTCATGTACATTACATCAACATGCATCAATCTTGACCAGTGGAAAAGTTGCATGAAGTTTGGAATCAAGAACTCACATGAAATGATAAGTTATAATCTTTCTTAAATTGCTTCATCAGGTGAATGGGAATATGAGATGTCGACCAAACCTTGCTACCATACCCAAATGACTCTAATTTAACTCGATAACAAAAGTCATGAAGGGTTCGTGTTGAGCAAATGTCAAGAAAATGCCTCATTTGGTCGAAAACCCTAATTCCAGGGTTTCACAAGGTGCTGCTTTGACTAGGATGAAAAAATGGTTTATGTACCAGATATCAAGTTTAACCTTTAATAAAAGTTGAAGTTTGAGTGGAGTACAACAAAATTTATTTTTGGACCAAGACCTGATTCAACTCTTAAGTGGCTCAAACAGAGGACTCAAGATGGAATCAGCTGTTGTTCTTGGGCTCTAAATAATTCTAAGTCCAGAATTCATCGTCATTGACATTGGCGTTCCGCGTTCTCTAAAATTTGTTAAACACCTCAAGTTGAGCCAAAATTAAAAGTTGGAATATTTGTTTCGAAGAAGGACATACAAAAAGTTGGAACCAATTTGACCACGTTTTGACCAAGTAATTCGAGCTCAAGCAAAGAAAGGCTTAATCCTAGATTAGTCGCTGATAGTGTCAACTTTGGGCTTAATTACCCATTAATCTGTTTCTCTAATGACTCGGCGCCCTTAATGAAAGATGTAGAGAAGTTCATGGGGTTCAACTTTGCTTTTGGGTCCAAGGTCCAATTCGGCCCGTAACTAGCCCAAAATTGCCTGCCACTTTGGCCACACCGTTGCCCGCCACACGCTCGGGGAAATGCTCCAAAGGGCAATGCGTGCACCGTGCATGGCGGCCATGCATGGCTCACGCCCCACTGCCGCTACCGCGTGTGCCTGCCTCTCTGCTGGCGCTGCCGCTTTGATTTGGATGCGCCCGTGCTCCCTCACTCGCTCCACTCCCTCCCTTGCGCTCTCCCTCTGTGACGCACACGCGCGCCAGAGCACGCCCGCCATTGCCGGTGGCCAAGCTCGCTATCGCCGCTGCTCCTGCCTCCTCCAACTTCCCTCTGACCAACCAATAGCCACACCTCCTTTCCCATGCCGTGCCTCGCCTTCCGCGCTCCTCGCCGTGGCCGCTCGCTGCTGTTTCCCCACCGTCGCTGGAGCTACGCCTCTGCGTGCCACGTGCGCACGTGCGCAGGCCGCCTTGGGCCTTCTCTGGCCGAGATGAGCAGCCCAGCGGATGCGCACGGGCCCCTTGGTGCTCCACCGCCTCTTCCCCCACCGCCAGAGCTCCGCTAGCGCCCTATCTGTCGGAGCCACCGTTGGGCTGCCACCTGCGCCCTTGGCTAGGGAGCCACGGTTGGCCTCAGGCCAGGCCGAGGCCGCCCACGGGCATGGCCCAACATTATGCAGCCGTGAACCTTCCCCGCCGCTGCCGGCCACTGTCCGCCGAGACCGGCCGGCCCGCCGGCCTCCTCTACTCTACCTGACGAGGAGAAGACGAAGGAGGACCTCGCGTAATAATAGAATAAAAGATAGGAGGTTAAGTGAAGAACCTATGACTCAGTTGAATAGTACAGAGAAGGACCTGTTCATTGGAATTTATTTTGTGGAAGTCCAGGGGCCTCGATGCAATTGTGTTTTCCTTTATTGCATTTATTTGGCTGAAACTTTGGAAAATCATAATAAATCG